ACTGTTGCATGCTACAGTGGGTGGAAACGTACAGTTGCCTTCACTGTATCGTATGTTTTAAGTCAAATTCTGATATCACACGACAGGCAGAATATAGACACAGACATGCCAAGTATAAAAATTAGATTCAGATTCCTAACCATGCCAACCAAAAAAATGACTGAACTGCCTTGTCTTGCCTAGGTTCAGGCATGCAACTATTAAGTTTATCTATCTAAACAGTATCTTTTACATACTTATGGACAAATACATATAAACACTTACGGTTTTATTATTTTATTACTGCAGTGACCAAAAGCCCCAATCTGGACAAGGCCCCACTGTACTAGGCTCTGCAAACACATATAGATTTAGCCCATAAATATGCCTAAAAGTCTAAAAGTAATAGGCAATTCACAGCAGGAAGAATCTTTGAAATATACTGAAATCAAAATACTATTACAACTTTGTGTTTTCATCCAAAGATTTCAAAGCATTTTTACCCAGACAGACAAGAATCATCACCATCACTTTACAAATAGGGAAACTGAGGCCCAAGGTGGCATAGAAATTTTCTCAAAGTAAAAAAAAAAGTTAGTGGAAGAGGTAGCAACAGAATTGAAGTCTCTTGGTCTCTCTTTTTAACCACTAGACCACGTGGTCACCTATGATTCATCGTTTTTAAAAAACAGTTTTACTAAACCAACCATCCCAATACTCAAAAAAATCAAGTACCAGGACAGAGCTGTAACTCTAAGAGGTTTTTAGTTTTAAAAGTTTTCAACTAACAGCAGTGTCATTTAAAAGTTTTTAGAATGACAATCCCCTACTTCAATCCTCTTAATTCTTTGTATTAGGGGTTAAATGAGATGGGTACCCTTATAGCGGCTCAATATGTGGTTGGCATCTAATATGGAATTTATCCCATACACTGAACAATACAGTCACTGGATAAAGATTCCATTTTTGTGTTGAAGTAGTAAAGGAGTAAAGGTTTTAGTTTGTTTCCCTTGACCAACAGGGGAACGCATAGCAGGGTGGCTATTTTGCTACCAACTCCACTGAACTGAGAAACAATCTGGCCCTTGGCTATATTGTGCAGGCGGACTTTACCAGTCAAGAAAAAGAGCAAAATCTTATGATCGGGCTGCTTTTTTGTTCTCCAATAAAAGCTTCAAAGAAAAGAATCTGCTCTGCTGATTGACCCATAAATTGTCAGCATCACAAGCTGGATGGCTGGGTAACATGAATTCTTCTATAAGATGTAACTCATAGAAAAGGAAAAACAAAGGGGTAGAGACACTAAGAGCTGGGAAAGCAGCTGTAGAATGAAGTAAATTCTCTCACTAACTGGATGTATTCAGTACCCAAGCACCATAAGTCAGAGCACATCCGCTCACATACCTTACTTCCATTGAGAATCCAATCACTTCCATCCTTTTTTGCATACGTTCGTACACCCTGCAAATCACTAAAATTGATTGGCGAGAAAAGAAAGTTATTTAAGAGAACAATCCAGCAGTGGCATGAAGTTCACATTTAAAAAATAATCCTAGTATAAAATAATGAAGAGCACAGAGCCTACAACTCCTTGTGGATAGTGCTATGGACAACAGTAGTCAAAAGCTAAAATAGGATTCAGGGATGTATTAAAAAGGGTCTAGAGAATATTATGGAAACCACAAGTGTGTTATGTATATGAATGATGAACCTCTGCATCTTCAGTACAGCACATGGTTCTACTTCACTTTCAAAGGGACATACCTGCTCACAGCCGAAGTACCATGTGCACAAATAATATCTATTAGCTCAGCAGCATCTTATGTCGACATGGCCCATCAATTTAGGGCTGCCCCAGAAAGCAGGTATCAGCCGCTCAGCTTGGCACCCTCCACATATAGTTAGAGGTCAGCTTATGGTTCTCAAGCAGAGAGGCTTTTGCTGTTTCTAGGACCAGTGGGGAGACAGTATAGAAGGTGCAGCTCCCTATTGTACTCCCCTCTGCTTAGCAGATTGAAGAGAATGATCCTGAATCAGTAATCTACCCAATAATCCTACTGTCTGCCCTTATACTATATGAATGAGAGTACAGGAAAGAGAACTCTATTCTATACAGGATTCAGGGACAAGGAAATAGGCCCTCTTGCCAAATTCAGACAGCATTATATGGACTAAGTCAAGCCTCCTTTACTGAGTTATTACATTTCACATTAAAGAATGTCCATGCAACAAGTAGGCTAGTGGCAGTTTATGCAGAATCTAAAACAAATACAAAACCCTATTTGTCCTAGGGCTGATGGCAAGATCATGGGTTTGGAACAGGCATCCGGAAATGACAAAGCTGTAAAACAGCAATCTATAATTAAAGGTTATTTCTGTGGTTCTACCTATTCCGGGCTACTGCCTAATCAGTAAAATGGCCATGTAACTATGAAACTCGGAGTTTTTACACAGCGAGATGAGGTAAGCAACATGTATGTAAAGCCCATCTGTTGTCCTTTTCAGCTTACCTGCCAGCCCCAGGTTCTGTCATGGCTATAGCGCCAATACATTTGCCTGCAGACATTTCAGGGATAAACCGTTCAATCTGATCTTTTGAGCCATAGTTTGCGATGTAGGGCATGACAATATCTGAATGAAGGCTGAATCCTGGGCCAGTACAATTAACATACATCCTTGAAGAGAAAAGAATAAAAGCAAACTTTAGAAGAAAGTGTGACAGTGATTGATCTATTGAATTTTAAAACCAGAGAACCCAAACTGAAAGAAATGTACACTAAAAGCTGTCAAAATGACACACACAATTTTAACTTGTTACATCCATGTTCTTATTTATTTATAGAATGTACTTTCACTGTCAGACTATTGGATCACCCACCAGTCTAAAGAGAACATATCCCCTCCTCTCCCGGCAGTCCTAAATATATAATACTATGATATTTATTATTTAAAAAAAAATCATCTGAAATATCTAAAGTAGGGGGTACTTATGCATGTATCACTTCTGTGGAAGGAAAAGACTATTACTGTCTGTGAACACACTCTCCTTACAATAGGAATCAGGAAATCAGATGAACAAATACAATCTTATAACGGTACAAATTTGATTCTTGCTGCAGTGTCTTGTACTTACTGCTCTTCCCAGACCACTGCTGAAGAGAGCAGATCCCCTCCAATGCCACCATGTTTTTCCGATATATTGACACCGAGCAGTCCCTGTTGTCCAGCTTTTTCCCAGAGCTCCCTGCTCACCTGGCCAGCCTTCTCCCATCTGCAAATGATACAGGAACGAGAAGTTAGTGGAATTCCCCTCCTACTATTTGTGATTTGCCACAGCTGCTGCTTTACACCATAAAATCTGCTACCAAGTTTCAGTGCTTAAGAATAAGACTTTCAGTCTCAGAAACCAACCTACAACACATGAGGTAACATAAAACAGGCATGTGTATTTTGCCAGCTGGGGAGAGGTAGGCAACTTGGACTCATGCAACGTACTTAGGATCTGTAGTCTCCAAGTCTATGCATTAATGATTAAGTTGCCACCACAGAATTACATGCAGTATGGTAGGTGGTAAAAAGCTAATTTCTGCTTCCAATGTATAACCTGCAATTTCCTTAACTTTTATACCTGATAAATTTGTGAACACTACCAAAGATGAGTTGATTTTTGTGGTACTTTGGTAAACTGACAGCAGAAGAGCTTCTGGTGATAGTCCTTAGATTTTAACTCGGAAGGAGAATTAGAGACTCATGGCAGAAATTCCCTATCTGTGGATCTTTCTCACTCAGGCTGTCTGCTAGAGCCAGAGTTGGATGGCCTTCAGGATGCAGTGCAAGGCTCATCTTTTCAGCCACACAGACTAGTTTGGAGGCCTTTTATCAGCTGCAACTGAAATGGATGTAAAGTGTATGCAACAGACACTTCACCGAGCAATCAATTTGAGAAAATACTAGAAGAAATATCAAAGAAACAGAGCTTTGCAATAGCAAGATATATTACACTATAAAACACTGCATGTGCTAGAAGACTTAATGAGATCCACACCTTCCTACTTCTTTGGAAGATACTTTTCCTTGGATTATTAGCTTATATTTGAAGGATGAATCCATCTTCATTGAGAGCACATACATGAATCCTTAGAGCAGAGGTCTCCAAACTGTGAGGCACGGAGGAATGTTCAGGGGTGTGTGGCAGGGTGGGGCCAGGGAGGGAGTGCCACCCAGCCCCACTCTGCCCCAGCCCCACCCCTGGCCCTGGCCCCTAGCTCCCGGCTGCTACCCAGTGCCCAGCCATGGCTATGGCTCCTGGCCACAGCCCCCAACCGCGACTCCACTCCAGACCCCAGCCTCAGCCCCCAGCCCTAACTCCAGCCCCAGGCCCTGGCCCCCGGCCCGGCCGCAGCCCCACTCCAAGCTGCGGCTCGCAACCACGGCTCTATGAGGAGAGACAGATTACATTATAGGTAAGGGGAGGGGGGGGGTGTGCGCAAGGTAAAAAGTTTGGGGATCACTGCCTGAGAGAGACACGCATGGTTGGGCTGTCCCACTGGCTCTTTATCCAGGCAGTTAAAACTTCTCTTCAATCCCACTCCCACCTCAGATAGCCCATGTAAGTTTCTCTCCCAAACACTCCCTGTGTTTTTCCGTTCACTCCGAACTCCATTCCTTCCAAGCAACATTTGCGATGAGCTCTCATACCTCCAAATCAGCCCTAAAAAAATCATGTCTTCCACAAAGCCTGCGTTTGCCAACATACACACTCACCCCTCCATGTCTGCCCAGCCACTTACTAGGTGTTACCATTACACCCATTTGTTCCTTTACAGTCGGATTTTTCAAAAGCATGTAAATGCTGCAGGCGCACAAGTACAATTGGCCTTATATTCCGGGGGGTGGGGGGAAGGATGTTACTAACTTGAGGTAAAATCCTAGGGAAAACAAGGCAGTAGATAAATTTTACACAAGCTAAAGACTTGTCTTTCCTAGGATTTTACCGTGCATTAGCTAGCTTGAGTTAAGAATGCACTTTTTCCCGCAATGAAGACACAGCCTTTGAAAACCAATAGTCTTAAGTCACTTAGTGTGTGATTAGATGTTGATAGATGTTTGGCTGCATGTGTGTGGTTTCTTTGTGTGCTGCCCCAGCCCTGCGCAGACAGCTGGCATGGCAGACCTCAAGCAAACCAGCCAATGAGCACAAGATCCGTTAAGGGACAAAGGCACCCAGCCAGGCTTATTGTCAACGAAGCCCGGTACTAGTATCCTGCAGACTCCACCAGACCACTAATACATGTATGCCCGTAACAATGGACCAGCTCAGTGAACGGCGGGACTTCCCATTCCTCCCTAGACCAGACAAAGATACTCCCTCTGAGATACATCTTTATACCCCAATACAAACAAGTTAGTACTGCTCCTCTGACATAGTTAGTTACTGCCCTGTGACATGGCTAGCTATTACCCATTACCTTGTACATGTTGGTTCGATCAAAACAGTTTTATTTCGTAGTGTTATCCTGACCTTATCTCTTAGGAGGGGTCAGTGTGTTCCTGTTATCCTCGGGGAATGTTTTTGTGCCATACTTGATATCAGGATGTTCTGGTACCACTTGATATCTGGATATGTTTGTGTGAGTACTTTCTGACTAGCACTTCTTAGGAATGTGTATTTTTGCAATATTAGCCCTGTTACCAAATTCTGCGAGCAGGTCCTGCCTCATACCAGGCCTCTGATACAAGGGCTTATGTCTCAGGCTCTCTTCCTACTCCAAGGTGATTTTGAAAATCTGACACCAAGCTCTTCAGGGCAGAGACTTTGTGTATTAAGAACGTAAAAGTTACCATACTGGGTCAGACCATGGTCCATCTCGCCCAGTATCCAGTCTCTGACAGAAGCCTGTACCAGAGCTTCAGCGGGAATGTACTGAACAGGGCAATTATGGAGTGATCCACACCTGATTTCTACTCCTGGCTTCTGACAGTCAGAGATTTAGGGTTGCCCCTAGCATTGGGTTGCGTCCCTACCCATCTTGGATAATGGCCATTGATGGATCTATCCTCCAGGAACTTATCCAGTTCTTTCTGAACTATGTTACACTTTTGCCCATCACAACATCCCATGTCAGTAAGTTCCACAGGTTAGTTGTGCCTTGTGTAAAAAAAGTACTTTCTTGTTTGCACTAAATCAGCTGCCTATTAATTTCATCAGGTGATGACTGGTTTTTGTATTGTATGAAAGGGTAAATAAAACTTCTCTATACACTTTTTCCACATTCTTCATGATTTTATAGACCTCTATCATACCCCCCTCCCCAGTCGTCCCTTTTCTAAGCTGACTAGTCCTTATCTTTATAGTCTTTCCTCATATGGAAGCCATTCCATACCCTGGATCATCTTTGTTGCCCTTCTCTGAACCTTTTCCAGTTCCACTATATCTTTTTTGAGATGGGGTGACCAGAACTGGATACAGTATTCAAAGTGTGGGTACACCATGAATTTATATAGTGGTATTATATTTTGTCTTATTTTCTATCCCTTTCCTATAGTTACTAATATACTGTTAGCCTTTTTGACCACTACTGCGCGTTGACTGGAAGTTTTCAGAGAACTATCCAAGGTGACTCCAAGATCTCTTTCTTCGGTGGCAACAGCTAATTTAGAATCCATTAAAATCCATAGTTGGGATTATTTTTTCCCCAATGTGCATTACTTTGCACTTAACTTTGAATTTCATATGCCATTTTGTTGTCCAGCCACCCAGTTTTGTGATATCCCTCTAACTCCTCACAGTCTGCTTTGGACTTGAATAATTTTGTATTGTCTGCAAACTTTGCCACTAACTGTTCACCCCCTTTTCCAGATCACCAATTAATTATTACACTACTGGAAAGTGCCACGTGCATCTATAGTTTTACATAAGTAATGAATAATAGCTGAAGGTTACAGGGATTGGCATATAAGTTTTAAAGGGACATTGTCACTTTGAAATCTAGTCAGCTGCAAAAAATAATTAAAGTAGTGTCAGATTCTACACCTGCCATAATTCCAGGGCTATTTTTTTTTTCTTTTTTGTTTGGCTTTACAGACATTTTCCTACTTTATACGTGTTTCTCTTTCCCCTGTTGCTCTGTGAAAAGACCCATGCTAACAACAGAAGGAAACTGACTTTACAGAGAAGGGGAACGTGACTACCCATAAAGCACTCTCAAACATACAAAGTAAATTTTAGAAAAATCTTTCTTCTAATCTCTTTCAGTTAGAGTAGCAATATGTCTTACTTATAACAGTAAGAAGTGAAAATTATTTCAGACACGAGAATGATTTTAAGTTGATGGTGTTTTATAGTCTCTATTTGGTTTGGTTGAATGGCATTGCTCAGTAACTATAAATGGAAGAAGAGAAGCTATATTAAGCCCCCAGGGAAGGGATCATCTTTTTGTTTGTGTTTGTACAGGGCTTATCTCAGTGGGATACTGGTCTATGAGTAAGGCCCCTTGATGCTATGGTAATACAAATAAATAATAATTGGTTGTGAACGTTTGTAGCATTCTCTCTCTCAAGTTTATCTTCTGGAGACTGGGCAGAAACAGAACAATTATTACAGACATAAGAGAGAAGTTCCAGGTGGAGGAGTTGAAGAGAGGAGAGGGAAGGGATGGAATAAATGTGAAAAGGTGAAATATATTAAATTCATCTTTTTATTGTTTGCTTTCCCAGTCCAGAACTAATACAGTTGCTTAAATCTTTAATTGGAAGATGGTCCTTATTGGAGAATGGGACAATATATGGTTTTGTAGACATGCACTGTTGCCCTAGAAAGAACGATCACCATCTCTGAAGTACAGCTACCCTTCTGAGCTAACTGGCTAAATTTAAGTGGAAGAACACCATACCATATTTCATCGCATTACCCTCGCTACCAGAATTAAAAACAACTGTTTGATATTGACGTGCTAAGTCTCAATTATCTTGAAATTAATTCTGAAATGAAACTGCTCTCCTAGATGTAGAATGACAACCATAACTCTTCGCAAAATAATGGGTTTCAAAACCGGAATTTGGACTAGGAGATTACAAAACAAAAATACACTAAGGATCATGCCTGAAACAAGCTAGCTACACCAAATATAGCAATGGAACTGTCAGGGGGATGAATAGATCAGGGGACTGGTAACTGAAATCTTTCATTTCTAGACTGCTGTTCCAGCCCTGGCTGGGAGCAATGCAAAATCATTACCATCTGGTGTCTCGGTTGTGACCTCTAGAAGAGCTAATTTTAGGACTAGTCTACACACAAAATTGCACTAAAATAACAATCTCTTTTAATACACATATTTTGTTATAATGTGCGTGTGTAGACACTTATTTCAACTAAAAGAGTCCTATTTTTACTGAGCTAAAACAGGGTTGTTGTTGTTTTAACCAACTTCATCCTATTTTAATTTAGCTATTAAAACAACAACAACAAGAACCCCACTTTAACTCAGTCAGAATAGAACACTTACTCTGAAGTAAGAGTGCCCACACACAGACTTGCACAGAAATAAAAGATGTGAATTAAAATTAAGTTAGCTGTTTTGGGGCAAGTTTGTGTGTACACCAACCGTTAAGTCCCCTTTTCAGGGGACAGATAGCCACAATATATAAACCAACACAACTAACACCTTTAGACTGTAAACTCTTTGGAGCAGGAGCGGTCTTCTTGTTCTGGGTTTGTACAGTCTCTAGGATCCTGGTCCATGACTGGGATTCCTAGGCACTACTACAATGCAAATAATAAACAGTGATAATACTAAAGCCTAGCAAAGCTAACAAAGAGATTAACTACCTTTTCATCCCTAGAGGCAAGGCAAACGTCTACAGAAGTTTGCATTTTACTGTCTGTGCTGCATTTGCTCCTGCAAATAATGAGCTCCTAGCTAACCAACCTGGCATCCTTTCGTGAGAAATACAGAAAGCACTTTCTTTTGTTTTGCTTTACAAATATAACCATGTACTTTTTTTCTTCCTTCAAACATGTGATGCAGGAGATATGCACACCAAGATATATATTATATACAAGCCTTAATACAATTTTTTAAAAATTAAAATAAACTCCACAGTTTGCTTGTTATATTCAGAACATCATTCCCAGAGAGTTCTGTGAAACAGCCTGGAATTAGTAGGCAACATAAAATATCCAAACCATATCTTACTCTGCATGGTAAGGAAGCACTGCTTCCTGGAAGAATTTCCTCACACTTTCCCTGAAGATATCATGATCCGAAGAGAAGATCCTTCGAGTTCCAATATCCATTAACGTTTTAGCAGAAGATGTTTCTTGACGTACCAACTCATGATTTTCAGTCTGCAGATACCTAAAAAGAGACAGACAGAGCATTTGTAAGGAATGCTACCTAACACTTTTTTAAACAGTGAATGCCCATCTTGGTCAAATACTTGTGGGCACAATGAATGGCACTAGCCTTCCAAAGGAACATAGGAGCAGAAAGGAACTCCTGGGTCATCGAGTACAGTCTCCTGGTATTGCAGGCAAACCAGCATATAATTCTGTTCATAAATTTTCAACGCGGAAGCCTAATAGACATGGACATTTGTCCATTATGCTACTTGACATGATTGACAACCAGAAAAAAAACCCAAGATCGGTACAGCAAGAGGTGTTTCAGGTCAACTTTGACATGCATCCAGCACAGCTGCACAGACAGGCTTGAATGAACCATTCCAAAAAACACACTGACGCAGGGCTAAGGTCCAGCAGCAGTAGTCCCTCACTTTCAAATTCAATCAATACCATCATCCTTCAAAAAACAAAAAAAAAAATACAAATAAAACTAAACAGTGAAACTCTTCTGCTTCTTTTGCCACCCATGCTCAGGGTCTAACTGATCATCCTATCTGGGGTCGGGAAGGAATTTTTCTTGGGGTCAGATTGGCAGAGACCCTGGGGTTTTGGGGTTTTTTTGCCTTCCTCTGCAGCATGGGGCACAGGTCACTTGCAGGTTTAAACTAGTGTAAATGGTGAATTCTCTGTAACTTGAAGTCTTTAAATCATGATTTGAACATGTCAGTAACTCAGCCAGAGGATAGGGG